ACTATACTACCACTATACTACCACTATACTACCACTATACTACCACTACTACCACCACTACCACTACTACTACCACCACCACCACCACCACCACTACTACTACTACTACCATTACTACTACTACTCCTCCTCCTCATCCTCCTCCTCCTGCTGCTGCTGCTTCTACTGCCACTGCTACTGGTGGTGGAACTGTGAGGCACGTGGTGCCCTACTTTACTCCAATGCAAGTCACCCTCTTCACATCAAGTTTACTTGATGCTTGCTTGTCGTTTCTGGTGCTTGGCGAGATTGTGTCGCACATCTCGTTATTAGATTGTGGCTGGCCCTCGGGGAGTTTCCGCAGATGATCTCAGTCTCAGACAGGCGGCGAACTGGACCGGCTCCAGCAATGCTGTTGGTTCCGTTGCTTTGATGAGCTTGGTGATTTTCAGCATATGGTGCGGACCTGTTCCGATTGCCCCTTGGCCACTGCGTGACCTGTGAAACCTGCTGGTGCTCTCCATTGGAAGCCCTTGGGGTGGTGTTCACGTGGTGATCGTGTGGCCATCGTCCGCTGAATTCCCAGGGTCCTTTGATTTGTTTGGGCTGCTTGCTGGAAGAGCCAAAGCTGATGTCTGCTTGGTCTTTCCCCCCGGCTACTGTAGTGCGATTTCTCTCTTGGTGCTTTGTTGTGCTTGTATGTACCTTAGTTCCATTGCCTAACCGTCCAAGACAGCCCGGTTTTCTTTTGAACGAATTCTCTTGCGCGGGTTTCCTTGCTTTGGTTGCTTGCTGCTACTGCTGTTACCTACTACTCCTGCTGCTGTTGCTGCTGCTGAAACTAGCGCTACTGAACCTACTTCTGGTTAGTACTACTACGCCTACTATACTGCCACCACTTCCACTTAAATTGTATTACTGTAATTTTCCCACAACCGCCACCACGACTACTACCACTACAAATACTGCTGCTGCTACTACTACTCCTAATACTACTACTACGACGACTACTACTACTACTGCTACTGCTACTGCTACTGCTACTCCTACTACTACTACTACTACCACTGCTACTGCTACTGCTACTGCTACTGCTACTGCTACTGCTACTACGACCACCAGTACCAACACAAACACCCCACCATGACCACCACCACCACC